TTGGTGATGGTAGGAAGCATGGTCCCCTTCACTGGGCTGTTTTGCTCTTCTTATTCTTACTCTTTTTGTCCTCCTTTAGACCATCCATGTTAGCTCTGAGTAAGTTGGAGTAAACCATCTGAAGCTTACTTCTTTGGAGCTTACTATGGGCTGATCTTCCTTTTCCCACCAGATCTTAGCAGACACTTGTCAAAAGGCTCAACGTTGTGCACTGTCTCTTTCCTTGGAATGGGTTTACTGCTTCAGGGTGATTAACACCCTACCCGACAATGACGCTTCTGGAAGAGCCTAGTCAGCTCCGTCAGGAACTGCTCACTCTCCAGGAGCACCATGCCAGCCCTGGGGGTTCCTCTCCATCAGCATTACTTAGGTCTTTTATTGTGTCTCACAGAAATGTTCTGTAGTTTTCTTTGTACAAGTCTTTTGTGTCTCTAGGTACGTTCACTCCCAAGTATGTCAATAGTCTTCTCAAATTACATGCTATGCATTAGAGAGTTGGACAGTGAACAGGGATGATAGAAAGAGAATTGATGCCTTTGGGCTGTGGTGCTAGAGAAGAGCATTGAATATACCAGGGACTGCTAGGAGAGCAAACAGGTTTGTCCTGGAGAAGGTGAAGTCGGAATGCTCCTTGGATCAAGGATTCTGGGGAATTGTCTGACATACTTTGGGCATGTTGCAAGCAGGGACTGGTCCTTGGAGAGGGACATCATATTTGGCAGAGTGGAGGGGTGGTGAAGGAGAGGAAGACCTTTGATGAGATAGATTGATTCTGTGACTGGAGTGGTGGGAATAAGTGCATTTGGGATGGCTAGGTTGGCACAGGATAGAATGGCATTTAGGGTTCTTGTACATAGGGTCGCTATGAGTGGCAAGCGACTTGATGGCACATAACAACAACAACGATTGTAAATGGTATTGCTTTCTTGGTTTCCTTCTCTGAGTTCTCTTTCTTACTGTAGAGGAATCCCTCTGATTTTTGGATATTGATATTCTATCCTACCATTCTACTAAATTGGCCTATTAACTCTAACAGTTATTTCGTTGAGTCTTTAGAGTATTATTTACACTATTCTACTATCTGTGTATAGTGACACTTTCAACATCTCTTTATCAATTTGGATGCCTTTTATTCCCTTCTCTCATTGTATTGTCCTAGCAAATACTTCCAATACAATATTTAATAGAAGTGGTGACCTTATCTGGTACCTATTCACAATGAAAATACTTTCAGTCTTTCTCCATTGAGAATGATATTGGCTCTTGCTTTTGCATAGATACTGTTCACTCCTGTTGTTGTTATGTACCATCATGTTGCCTGTGACTCCTAGTGACCCTATGTACATCAGCTCCAAAGCCTGTCCTATTCTGAGCCAGTCTCACTGACTCCAACACACCTACCCCCCTTGCCCTCCTGTGCCGTCTCTCCACTCTTCATAGCATGATGTCCTTCTCCAAAGACTAGGCCCTCCTGGTCACATGCCCAAAGTATGTGAGATAGAGCTTTAAAATCCTAGCGTCCAAGGAGAAACTTGGTTTCTTCCTCTCCAAGACAGACCTAGTTGTTTTCTTGGCGGTCCAGGGCGGTTCAAGCCTTCTATTCCTATCTTTCTGAGTGTCTTAATCAAGAAGGGTTGTTGGATTTTGTCAAATGTGTTTTCTGCATCAATTGCTAGAATTATATGGTTCTCTTTTTTTTTAAATATACTGATTTATTTACAAAGTTTCTATACATTGTTTTTCTGGGTGGGTTAATCATAGGGTCACACAATTTGATGGGTAGAAGGGGTGGATCATATGGTTCTTGTTATTTGCTTTATTAATGTGGTGAATTATGGGGTTTTTTCTGCTCCCTCCCTCCACCAACCAAACTCTGTGTAACATTATTTCCCCACCCCAAACCTCAGTCCCCTATTCCCTCCCCTTCCTTCTTTGTAGATCCATATACATTTCACTGGTTATCCTTCTGTTTTTTAATAATGGTCTTATACAGTATTTGTTCTTATGTGCCTGAGTTAGTTCACTCAAGGTCATGCTCTCTAGCCTCTCCCATGTTATATAATATTTTCCCTTTTACTCAATCTTTCTGTCCTACCCCTCCCTGTCTTCAGGGCTTTATCGCTGGGCAAATGCTGCCCTTTTTACTGTTGTACTGAGAACTTCCCTGATGTTGTTGTTCACCTTCTAAGACAGTTTATAGTTAGAGAGAAAGTTTCCTTAGATAGGCTGCTCAGAAGCTTTTAAGATCTCTATTAACCAAAGCTGGATGTGAGGCATTGTCTTTGTAGTCTGTGTAATGCCATTTGAATTTGATACCATCTGAGTTCACCAGGCTTATTCAGTCTGCATGCTATGTTGTTAGGCTTCATTGAGTCCACAGTCCAGTTAAAATAAACACCTCACAGCAGTGAGTTTATGTTAATAAAGAACAACTTAGAACTGGAGGGTGAAAACGGTTGCACAACTTAATGAATGTAAAAGGTGTCTGAATTGTACATGTATAAATAGTTGATTTGGTCGTGTTTTGTTGTCTTTCAAGAAATTTAAAGAAAAATAATGTTGTAACTTATTAAAATCATCTACTTAATTGCCAGGAAAACAAAGAGATTCATCTTGGCGAGGATTAAACCAAGCTACTCCTTGGAGGCAAGGATTCTGGGGCTTCGTCTGACATACTTTGGACATGTTGCCAGGAGGGACGGGTCCTTGGAGAGGGACATCATGCTTGGGAGGGTGGAGGGATAGCGCAGGAGGGGAAGACCCTCTAGGAGATGGATCGATTCAGTGACTGGGGTGATCGGGATGGGTGTGTCAGAGGCAGTGCGGTTGGCGCACGATAGAGCAGGGTTTAGGGCTGTTGTGCATAGGGTCGCTATGAGTCGGAAACGACTCGATGGCACTTAACAACAACAACAACAACAAACTTAATTCTGATTCATAGTGACCTTGCAGAGAAGAATGGCTCCTCTGGTTTCCAAGTCGCCATCAAAGTGGAGGCAGAAAGCCACATCTTTCTTATGCACAATGGCTAGGGAGTCCATTCTAACTGTCGGTTACCCCTTGGCCCTGTGTGAAATGGTCCTTCCACCATTTATTATGTGCCATCGAATCACAGGACTCATAGGGATCCTACCTACGAGTAAAGGATCAACGGATCTCAAATCTTCCCTATTCTGTGCCAGCTCCGACACACCATTTATTACTACATTTATTATTATGAAAACTTTTTTAAGTAGCCACACGTGGCTACTGGAACCCAGCAGCTCCGCCGGGGAACGTACTCTGCTTCCATAACGATTTCCCGCTTTGAGCCGGCTACAGGGCTGCCTTTCAATCGGAATCCACTTGGAGCTCCGGAGGATCGCTCCTTCCCTGGTACCCTTAACTAGCCCTCACAATAGGATACTTCTAAGCTGGAGTAAAAGAAAACTTGGGAGACGTTTCTCCTGGATTGGGATCCCATTCCCAACCTGGATCATTATATATGTGCCAGGACGCCGAAGTGGTGCGTCTATTCCCAACAGATTAATTCCTGCCCCCATAAAATCGCCGCGGACCCTAAGATGAGACAGCAGATTCAACATAATAAAGAATGAGAAGAAGCAATTTGCATAAAAACAAAAACCTCACAGCTCTTTACTAAAATAAAACTACATGTGTACCAAGGCGGGTTTGGCAGAAATACACCCACCCAGAAGCCCCGCCTGCTTACCGGAACCTGATTGGTTGTTCCTGGCTCCAGCGGCCCAATCACACTCGCTGCGGCGGCGGACATTCGAGAGCGGTGCACCGTGTTCCACAGGAAGTACTTCCTTCAGCGGAAGCCTCTGCGCGTATTATAGCGGAAGTGCTTTCTCTTCCGCTCTCTTTGGTCGCGGCAACGAAAGCGAGATGGTGAGTTGTATCCTCGGCTTTTTTAATCGCCTTTCATCCTTCTTCCCTGTACCAACTTGTTTGCTATCTACGAGGAGGCGACAAGGTGCCTAGTCGGAGAGTCGAGTAAGAAAGAAAGGGACTTGGAGAAGGCTCCTTGGAGCCCAAGAAATGGCTCTTAGCCGGAGCCCGGATTGCCGGTCCTGCAGTAGTGCGGTCTTGAGTCTTGTCCGATCGAGCGCTTTATGGCAGTTCTTAGCCCGTACCCGCCGAGGAGCGCTGAGGAGCGAAGCATGGTTTGGGAGTGTTTAGACCTCTAAGCAGAGAGACGGTTTTGTTGTATACAGTTCTTAGCTGCAGCACTTGAAAAGTACGTCGACTTTGAAGTCTTGTCTTCTGGCCTTGTCTTTCTGACCTTCCCCTTTACTTTAACCAAAAAGGAGTTTAAAAGAGCTACTGCTGTAGAAGCTAAAATACACGTATGAAACTTGACAAACTGACTCCCCTGATAGCTCATTAGTAGTTGCTTTTCCTGAAAATATCAGGACACATTTAGAAATTTGCCGGATTGCATGATATTAAAGGGTAATGTTGGGTTTTTTAACCTCCCCCTGTTCGTAATTTGTAGACGAAGGGAACGTCATCGTTTGGAAAGCGTCGCAATAAGACGCACACGCTATGCCGCCGCTGTGGTTCCAAGGCCTACCACCTCCAGAAGTCCACTTGTGGCAAGTGTGGCTACCCCGCCAAGCGCAAGAGAAAGTGTGAGTTAAATGCTGACTGTCGGGGGTTGGAAGGAATCTGTGACATTGAAGTAGTTTCTGGTTTTGATGCTGGTTTTATTTACAAAATTCAAATACATTGTTTTCGAGAACAGATTGATTCTGCCAGTTCCCCCCACCCATCAGATTGTACATAATGCTGAGTGAACGCACTCCTTCCCACAAGGGCAAATATTGTATCGTACCATTACTGTAGAATGAGTGTAAGGATCGATGGAGGAGGGTGGAAGCAGGGTAAGGGTGGATTAAACATGAAGTTGTACAAGTTATTTTTTAATTTGTACAAATGGAGCTTGATTTAATTTGGTGTCTTTACAAAACGTGTGCATTTGCATGCTGCTGCACCAAAAACTTCAAGTGTAGTGACTCATAGCACACAAAGTATGTGGGGAACCCTTTTCCACGCTTAACTTGTGTTTTAGATAACTGGAGTGCCAAGGCTAAAAGGCGAAATACCACCGGTACTGGTCGCATGAGGCACCTAAAGATCGTTTACCGCAGATTCAGGTACAGTTTTTCAGTATTAATTTTTGTGATTACAAAAATACCTTCATGTTGTAAAGATAACATTCTTGGAGTTAGTGAGGATGAAATGTTGAAAGGCAGTGATACTTCAGGAAATCCAGAGAAATCTGGTATTTGTGAAATTTGAATAGGACTCTAAACATGTTTATTACTAATTACTACATCCTATTTTGCTTTCATCCCAAGGTCAGCAGCCTATATATAAGGTTTGGAATCAGGATTACTTTAATTTTGTTTAGCTACAAAACTCCCATGAGTCATTTCTAAGGTTTTGTGCTATGTTTTGAATGGCTTAACGGCTGCCTTAACTGGAATTTGTCTTTTTACTGTAGGTAAAGAATCAGTGTGGCCGCCCCCCCCTTAGGTGTTTTCACCCACCAGAGCAGAAGTTAAAAATGTTGTGGGTGTCACATCAAAACCTGTGTATCACATTAACTTTTCGAGGAGCTCCTTGCTGCTCATTTACATTTTGGGCTTAGCTGTTTAGTAATCTTGTCATCAGTTGGGAACTTACTTAGCACACCTGTGTATTTTTATTTATGTGTTGAAGTAATCTTTTTACGTGGCACTTAGGCCATAAAAAATAGGAGGCAGACAACTTTGCTCATTTGTAAATGGTGAATAACAATCCTTATGAAGACATAGCAAGGCATTGAGAAAATACTTGTACATGTTCATTGTTGCCTTGCTTAAGGGAAAATTAAGGAGTTCTCCAGCAGAGGAAGTCAGTTTCACAAAAATTACACTAGAAGCTTATCAATGATGTCCTAAAAATAAATGTCTGAACATATGAATACAATACTGATTTCAGCATTTAACTGAGATAAGCTTATTAAAGCTTAATATTACATTGGACATGAGTTAATGTAGCTGACGTGATCTTTGTTTTTAACGTGCAGGCATGGATTCCGTGAAGGAACAACACCAAAACCCAAACGGGCAGCTGTTGCAGCATCCAGTTCATCTTAAGAATTTCACTGTTTAGTTATGCAATAAATGTTCTGGGATTATAATATGTATGGTGTTTTGGGCCTTATTGATCAGTTAAGAAGTAAGCACCTAATCAAGGTAACCCTCCATTGGTTTCTGAGGTTGTGTGTACGTTGTTGTGTTGGAAAGTGTACAACTGCTTGGAGGGGCTCTTTTATATTCCTTAAGAAGCTACTGGTAGATTTGAAACAGTGCAGCTTTCTAGGGATTAAACCACCCGCGTGTTGTCCTACCCCCTCCCCCCCTTTGCTGCTGTGCAATTGGAACCAGCTCACAGCTAACCTTCTAGTGGGTTTTTAGAGGCTGTAAATTACACATAAGACCATTGCCTATCTTCTTCATTGGAACAAGCTGGTGGATTTGAACCACCTGCCCTTAGGTTGCTAGTTCACCACCTTAGCATTGAGCCATCAGAGCTCCTTATATACCATCAATCACCAGCAACCCTAGATTGACGTCATTGCTTCTCAGTACTGTGGAGAGGTCCCTGATAATAGACTTTGCCATTGCAATTGGTCTATTGATTTCCTGACTTCTGGTGCCAAGACAGTTGATTATGTAGCTGTGCAAGCTGCATTTGTTAACAGTCTCAGTCTGTTCTCCATCTATTGTGCTGTCAGTTGGCTCAGTGATGAGAATCTTCATCGTCTGATGCTGAGCTTTAGTCCATATTGAAGACTAGAGTCCGTGACCTTTAGCAAGCCAGGTTGTGTCATCTGCAAAATGTAGATTGTTAATGCGTCTTCCTCGTATCTTGATGTCATATTCCTCACAAAGCCCAGCTTCCTGAATGATCTGTTACAGATTGAAAAGTTAGGGAGACAGGATGTATCCCTGATTTTGAACCATGCAGTGTTTTCTTGCAGTGTAGGTTTCACATGAGCACCATCAAGTGTTCTGGGGTTCCCAGTCTTAGAATTAACCAGTTTGTTGGGGTTCACAGTCAAGTGCTTTTGTATAGTCAAGGAAACAAACTTCTATGTACCCGATCGCCTTGTTAAATGCTGTCAAGTTGCAGGCAACTCAGTGACCCTATGGAGAGTCCTCAGTGCTTGGGTGTCACTCATCCTCTCCCCAGGTTCATAGGGTTTCTGGAGGCAAGCTATTACAGAAGTGGATGCCACTCCTTCCATCCTTGTTATAATTGGGGAGCTCCACACCACTCTGTCCACATTGTGTAACCAGCCATTAACACATTTGATACATCAGCGTTCAGCCACACAGCAACCACAAGTGACTGCTGTACAGCACCTTGTACACCAGGGCTATATGATCTAGAGGAATGTCTGAACAAAAACAATGAAAGATTTCCTTATCCCACATTGCACTGGGGAAACCTGCAGTTAAGGGACTGCTCCAGATTGAGTAATATCAGTTCAAGGACTGAGGAGAGTCTTGATTTAGGCCATAATCTTGCCAATTACTTGCTATGCGTCTGAGAGCTGGACAGTGAAAGTTGAGTTTGACTGCTGGTATTGGAGAGCACAGAACATCCCATTACAGCCAGGAGCAAACAGCCTCTGGAGGTCAGGAGAGGCTATTTGAGAAGGATATACAAAGTGTTCGAAAATGTTACTGTCCTTTCAGGGTGCCTTTTCTAAAATAAATGCATTAAGATCTTAAGATTTCTGAGTAAGGGAAGTTTAAAAGAACACGGGTGGTGTGTGAATACTCACCGATGCTAATGCAGACTTTGCAAGCCTGCAAGAGACTGGCAGATTTTGAATGCTGTTAATCTTTGTTGTAGCATCACTGCTACATTTTGACCTTTTGTATACTAGTTTAGTCCTTAACCACTCTGCTACTGAGATTGTTAAAGTGGCACCAATAGAAAAAAGGAAAACAATTACACTACCTACCTTGTAACTTTTGGTTACATTTTTTTTATAATGACCTTAACCCAAGATTGACGATCTCCCTTCACCAACCTTTCTTTGCTATGTAACCTAGAAACCTTACCAAAAATCTCAAATTTCTCCCCCCCTTTTTTTAAAACTTCGTAACATCCAAAATTTCTTAATGTTTTCATTTCCTATGTAGTTCCTGGTCTTGCAGGAATAATGGGTAAAGAGCATGGATTTAGGAGCCTGCTGAAAAGGCAGCAGAAGTTTGTGAAGCTTAATTGAGCTGTTTGTAGAAAGGAAGATGCTTTAACAGTGGCCACACCTAAAGTTGGTTATAATTGTCAGGTGCAGTGAAATACAGCTCAGCGTCCTCTTGAACAGCTGAAGTGAATATGTCAATCCATCTTGTTTGGGATCCTGACACACTAGAAGCATGATGACCCTTTCTGAGGAATAGCCTCACCTTGGTACATGTCCAGAGTGAAAGACAAAGCTTCATCTCTGCTTCCAAGGAGCACTCTACTTTTTCTAGCATCTATTCTTTTGGCAGTCCGTAGGATATTCAGTATTCTTATCCAAAGAGATGTTCAGAGGCCCTGATTTTTCTGTTATCCTTAGTCATAACTTTACAGTAAGTTATTTTGATGTGGGGTAACATTTAGAATGATAAGTAAAAGGAATGCAGTAATTGAATCTTATTCTTTGGTCATATGCTTAAGATGAGTATCACTTGTTTGGCAGTTTTTCCAGTTGTATAAAAGACCCCTTAAATTTAGAGGATCAGCAGCATGATGGATGGGAGAAGAGGTTGAAATTGTCAGTAACTACTTAATTAGTAATTAGATCACAATTAACATCCTTGGTACCAGAATTGAGAAAATGAGATGCATTGAACTGAGAATATCTGCAATTAAAGATCTCTCCACATTGTTGAGTAATGATGTAAGTTTGAGGACTAAGGTGCATCTGATTCAGGCCATGGTCTTTCCAATCACTTGCTTTACATCTTGAGAGCTGGACAATGAATAGGGATAACAGAAGAATTTATTCCTTTGAGCTGTGGTGTTGGAAAAGGACTGAACACCCCAGAGACTACCAAAAGAAGAAACATGCCTTGCAAAGGTGCAGCCGAAGTGTTCTTCGGAGGTAAAGACTTGATTAGGTGGATTGTCAAAGTTCTGCATTGGGCTCGTGTGTGTGTCTCTAAGTGTAAGTTTGAGGATGGCACAGGATAGGACAGACTTCAGATCAGTCACTGAGTCATACTGGCCTCAATGGCACCTAACAAGGAGTTTGGCCTAAAGGCAGTGATGAGTAAAAATTGCAAGCACAGGAATGACCTGAGGTTGATGTGGAAGGTGCTGTTAAATGAAATGTATGATGTGGAACGATATGATGAAAATGAAAGCTGGGTACTGAGACCTACTGTCAACAAATTTATTCCTAGTCATAGAGACCTACCTTCTGGTGTGCTTACAAGGAAAACTGGTAAGGGTCAAACTTTTTTATTTGCACAGTTCAAACTATACTGATTTATGTTTGAATACATTGTTCCCCAAAGATCCCTTCCATTTCCTTCACTGCCCCCCATTGAATTGTGCAGCCCTATGATTAACACCCCACCCACCCATCCTCACCCCTCTGTTCTCTCCCCCCCATCCTAATACTCATTCTGCAATAATGGTCTCGTACCGTATTTGTCCTTGTGGGCGTGAATTCACTCAGCATAAATGCTTACCATTCCTTCCCATGTTAGGTAGTAATTTACAAAATCATTTTTCCTGCCTGTTTCCATTGTATGTAGGCCTATTCATCTGTGGTCAACTGGTATTAGACAAGGAAATCAAAGCTATCAAATAGGAAAATAACTTCAACAAATGGTGCTGGCAAAACTGGACTGCTACCTGCATAAAGCTGCAACAGGATCCACATCTCACATCATACACAAAAATCACCTTTAGGTGGATAAGAGACCTAGAAGTAAAGCCCAAAACCATAAAGATCATAAAAGACAAACTTAGAAACTTAAGAGTTCAAGCATAGTGTATGGTATAAAGAGTCACACTTTTTACTGTTGATTTAGCACCACAAAACATGGCCTGAACTAGTAAATAAATTAGGGGAATTCTGGGAACATCCAGAATTTCACAAGTCTGTTAGTTTTTTTGTAGGTTCTTAGAACAGTAGACTCATGGGAAATCACTCCTGCTGCCAGTTGGTCCAGTAGTGAGAGTTTTGTTTTCTTCAGGTTTAGCTTCAATTCATAATGAAGACTATAGTCCTTGACTAGTCTTCCTACAATGTTGATGCCACTTTCCAGCACTGTAGTGGATGATACCGTCCATGGACTTTTATCTTTTTTAATGTATATATGTTTTTGAAACCTTGTCAAAACTGGAGGATATGGATTGCTCTCAACATAAAGGGGGAAGAAATTTTCACCTCCTTGCCAAGTTGAAGTTGTAACTGACACTCCTGTCACCAGCAGCCAGGAAATCTAAAGACAAGTTGCTTTGGGAAAGTCAGCTGTCAAGAGACCTCTATCAAGTGCACCAAAGCAATAATGTCAATCTAGAGACTAATGTCTGCCTGGTCCAAGCCATGGTCTTTTGAACTGCTGTATGTCAGAGATCTGGACAATAACGAAGGATGACAGAAGAGTAAATGCCTTAAGTTGTGCTGGAGAAGAGTAATGAACATAGCATAGAATGCCAAGAAAAAACTGAGTCAAAGATAAGGTGAAACCAGGTTGCTCTTTGGAGGCAAGGATTTTGACATTCTGTCTCAAATACTTTGGGCTTATTATCAGGATGGACTAGTCCCTGGAAAAGGTCATCATATGTGATAGACAAGATGCTCAGTGAGATAGTGTTTACAGTGGACAACAGGCAATTGAGAGTGATAAAGGACTGACAGGATTTCTTTCATTGTACTTAGGGTTGCTATGACTTGGAATCAACTCACTGGCACCCAGTGAGAACCATAGCCTGCTTATGATCTTAGTTTTTATTGGCAACAAAATACACCTTCATGAAGCCAATATAAACATAGTGACCTACATAACAAAAATAGTTATAGGACATGGAAAGGAGAACTAGATGAACAAGGACCCAGCTTTGACAGCATGCCCTTGAGAGGGAAGAATGAAGAGAAAATGCATTTTAGGAATTG